GGCAAGGATTCTGAGGTTCCGTCTAACACACTTTGGACATGTTGTAAGGAGTCCTTGGAGAAGAACATCATGCTTGGTAGGGTGGAGGGACAGTGCAGGAGGAGAATGCCCTCTATGAGGTATACTGATTCAGTGACTGGGGTAATCGGGATGGGAGTGTCAGAGACAGTGCGATTGGCACAGGACAGAGCCGAGTTTAGGGCTGTTGTACACAGGGTCGCTATGAGTCGTAAGTGACTCAGCAGCACATAACAACAACAACAGTCACTAGTGAGTTGTGATGGACCAGCTATGGCCACTTTGAATCAGATAATCATATGATATATTATGCAGGGAATGAAAAACAGAAGAACAGTGTTGCATTTATAGTAAAAAAAGTCCATTTCAAGTTCTATCCTGTAAAGATTACAGCCTCTGAAACCAGATGGTACATTTCTACTCTGTCACATGAGGTCACTCAATTCATTGTCATTGAGTCAGAAATAATTCATAGCTTACCCTCCAGTAGGTTTTCAACAGCATCTATAAATAGCATAAGAGAAGATTGCTCATCTTTCTCTCTCGTAGCCACTGGTGGATTAATAGTGAAGTTCTCTGTTAGGCCAGGAGAGTTCTTTACATAAGACACTATTGTTGAATACCTTCGAGTCGCACACAATTCATAACGACCCTATGAACGAAAGGCCTGAAGACCCTCTTCAACTATCGAAATTTATTAAATTTCATAGAAGTTTCTGGAGGCATGTTATTTAGGAAGTGGACAGCTCCTAGCAACAACAGTAGTATTGGTTTATAGAATAAAACAATGAAGATTAGTGCAAGTAATTTTCCAATAAAGGTAATAGTAATTTTCCTATGTTTCAGGAATCAGATTTTTTTCCTTTTATCTCAGATGGGTAATGTGCCAATGCCATAACAAGGTTTATGGGAGACACGTCACACAAAAGCATGAACACCCAAACATCATACTCACACTCCAGAAGGAATCAGATTCATTAACTTGCTTATTTTATTCCTCTCCAATTCCTTTTGTATATGGTAAAAATTACCAGAATAGGTATGTTCTGGGTGTTGAGAACTACTGTATCAAAAAAAAAGTGAGCATTTGAGAATAACAACACAATACAGCTTGTGCTTTTACAGTCATGTTATAAATTATTTTGAATGCTTATGAAGATAAGAAAGTAGGAACTCCAGAAGCCCTCATCTTCAGTTTTAGGAAATGAGTCTAAAGTGCATACCATGCTCCTTTCTACAGGCCGGCTGAGAAGCCCATCCACTGGAGAGACACTGCACCACCTCTTCATCCTTCCCTCCTGTGGTCTTGTATCCCGAAGCACAGCCATAACGCATGCTTTCGTGAATCCTGTACAATAACTTTGTATCAGAGACATAACCATTCCTCAGGTCCGGCTTAGTGCATTTTTCTAAGGGGAAGAAAATACATGTCTTTGAACTCAAGAATAAATTCATGTTTTCTTTTACTGAGTTATCAGATGAAGAGGAAAATATATCATTACTTCTTGTTAGAATTTAAAAAAGAGAAAAGGAAAAATTTCCACTTCTCAATTTCTTAAATTAATTTTAGAAATAGACAGCATCTGATTTTTGCTTATTTGAGTTTTGAGAAATGATTTTTTATTTATATTGGTTTTCTTTATATTTCCAAGTTTCAGCTCCAATAGTCATTCCTACCATGGGTCCAGAGTTCTTTCTATTGCTCTCGATGTAAACAAAATAATTTCCGCTCAGTTGACTTCCTAATATCAAAACACACAGTGTGGCTGTGTATTAGCATGTACAAAAGCATATGGAGCTTTGGTGGCATAATCTGTTAGTTGCACAGCCAATCCAAAGTTGGGAGATTATAATTAACAGCAGCTATACAGGAGAAAGAGGGGCAATCACTTCCTATGTAATTTACAGCCTCCAAAAACCTGCTGGAGCTCATCTGAGTTGGATCCATCTTGGACTTTTTGTGAGTTTTGACTTTTGACAGTGAGAAAAGCTTGTATCTATTTTAAATACCCTGAAATAATTCTTCAGACATCTTAACATCTTAACTGTATTTAATCATTCACTCATCAAATTTTTGGTGTCACTTATCTTTACAATAAAGAATAAACGCTTCATGTAGACTATGCCTAAATTACAGACACTTAAAATGTGTAAATTTGTAGAGTTGGGGGGTGTGTTTTGTAAGTATATATGACAAAGGTGTATTAAACAAGGAACACTTTAACAGTGTTTGAAGCACTACCATTTCATTGTTGTTATTGTATCAAGTTGGAGCCAACTCATAGCTGACCCTCACATAGATGTCCCTTTTTCTCCTAGAGAGGAGCTGATGGGTTCAAGTCTCCTGCCTTTCAGTTGGCAGTGCAACTTCTTACCCTCTAGGGCCACCAGAGTCTTATTATAAAGTTTCATAAACCTCTAGGGAGCTGTGCCGCTAACTCAAAGGCTGAATCTTAAGCAAAGGCCATGATTCTCCATGGTTTGGATCCACCAGTGTCTCCAAGGGAGGAAGATGGACAATCTCTTCCCATGTGATTTACTGCCTCTGAAAACCTGCTGGAGGGTCCAACTTCACTACAGTGGCCTTCAGTTTAGCATGACTAATCAGTTAGGAAAAGATTAAAACACTTTTCTAAAGCTATTATTAAATTAACGCTATGTCCTGTGTTATATGCACACTATGAGAATGATCTTATTGAAACAGAGGTATTAGTTTCACTTTGTAGACCAGAAATAAAGTTCAAAAACTTTAAGTCACAGTCCAGTGGGCAAGTTGGATCTGCATACAGACAGTTTGACAGCAGAGGCCATCTATTAACCACCACATGCCATGGCTAAACTTGAATTCTTTCCTAGTTCCATAGAAATTTGTGCTGGTAATCTAAAAGCAGCAAATTCAAATCTACTGGCAGCTTCACAGGAGACAGATGGCAATCTCCCGTGTGGCTTTCAGCTTCTAAAAATCTGGTGGAGAGTCAGCTATGACTCAATCATAACTCAACTAATACGAGTGAAAGTAGCTAATAAATCTAAATTGTTTAATCTATTTTTTCTTAGTTGGGGATGAATGAGATCTATTTATTAGGGTGAGTACATAGTTTATGCTAATGTATAATGTTCTTTGTTTGTCCTCATGTCATAGGATGGGCATTTTTTTTTAAAGAATATGTTTCCGAAGGACAATTGTTGTTGATTGCCTTCTAGTCAAGCACGACTCATAGAGACTCTATGAACAAAAGGCCTGAAACCCCTCTACAGCTATCGACATTTATCAAAGTTCATAGAGATTTTCCAGAGGTATGTTATTTAGGAAATGGATGCCAATAGTGACAGTAATCTCTTCTTGAGTAAATAGATTTATTCAAAGCTCTATCCTCTGAAAGAGAGAGCTTAGTGAAGAAGCCAACTGACAGACCTATAGCAAAATCAGCTCTAAAAGGGTAAGATCAATCAATAGTTGTTCTTCTCACAAATTAAAACGCAAATTCAAGGAAAAATATTTTATGGATTTTATCTGATATGAAGCCTTCACAAAAAAGAATGGATTTGGTTTTGAAACCAGAAAACAATAGAGATGTTCACTATTAGGTTGGTTTTTTCTGATGCTGGTGTCTGAAAAATTTTTCTCACTTTTAATGAACACTTTTTCATATAAGCTTCTTATTACTTAAAGTAACTCAGTTGAGTTTCTGTTTTAAAAAATGATGATATGTAGCAATCTCAGAAATTAACTTTCTTCTCTTCACAGGTTATTAGGAGAAATAAGCAAAAATATAATAGTTAAAATGAAACAGTTGGTTGGCAGACTTGTAGAATGTACTCTGTAAGAAAAGAGGGTAACAAAAATTTTGCTCTTCTCTATGCAAAAGATTTATTCACTTCCATGTTTTTTTGTTGTTGTGTACTGCTGAGACTGAGCTGACTCATAACTCATCCCCTAGGTGGTTTTTAGAGATTGTACATTGCAAGAGAAGAGATTGTGTATCGGTCTTTTAAGGAGCAGCTAGTGGATTTGAACTGCTACCTTAATGTTAACAGTGTGACTCCTCATGACTAGGCCACCAGCTCTCCGTATGTTTTAATGTAGTTGTTATATGCTGTGTAGTTGGACCTGACTCATAGCTGATCTTCCAATGGGTTTTCAGAGGTAGTAACTTACACAGGAGGAGACTGACCATCTTTCTCCCCCTGCGCAGCTAGCAGATTCAAATTGTGCGGCTTTGGCTTGGCAGCACAACTTCTTACCACTAGGCCACCAGGGCTTCCCTTATGTTTTCTTGTTCTTGTTTTTGTTAAGTGCCATCGAGTCATAGGAAATTATGCCCCTATTTATGGGTATTAAGTTATCTGACTACTGAAAATATTACATGTAAACACTCAGATGACTTACTGAAGCACCTCGGTTCTGGAGACCAGCCTTCTTTTGTACATGTAGTTTTCTCTTCCTGTTTTCCAGTTTCTGTGGTATAACCAGCCAAGCAGGAAAATGGCAATTTTTTATCTATGCCCATTGGAAAGTAATAGCTTTTAAATGTATAGTAATACTGGGCAATTCTTCCATTTTCTATAGGAGGAATATCACAGGGTTTTTCTGAAATAAATAAACACAAAGCTGAGAATACAAAATATTCACTAAAACCACAATATTTCTAGCCAAATATCAATAACTTTAAATGTGTCTAGAGCACTTTAACTGGGACTTATTTTTATTAACTCTCTTTTCTTAAAGATTTTTTTGGTTGACAAGTTTAGCATTGTTTTCCTTTTACAATCAATCTTTCAGCAGCTCCAGCCTTTAATAGTCAGCAATAACTAAACAAACTCCTTTTCCAGAGAAACTTTTTCTCCGAATTTGTTAAACAATGCTGTCCAACAGGAACATAATGTGAGTCATTTGTGTAATGTTAGCATTACAATTTTAAGAGGAAAAAGAAACAGGTCATGTTAATTATAAGACTCATCAGCAGTCTGTTTTACGCAGATGACACAACCCTGCTTGCTGAAACTGAGAAGGGCCTGTAGCACTTGCAGCAACGGGTCAAAGACTGCAGCCTTCAATATAGATTGAGGCTCGGTATCAAGAAGATAAAGATTCTCATCACTGGACCAATTGCAGCAACACAATAGATGATGGATTGGTAAAGATTGTTAACCTAACATACTAAAATATTTTCTTAAACTGTCTTTGAAATTAATCACGTGTTCATATTTACAACTTGTCTCAGTCTGTATGAGTTACATGTCAAATGATCAATTTGCATGATGGTATATGGCCAAAAAATGGAACTGAAAAGTCCTAGATAGTATAGATAAAATTCTCTGTAAGTTGTCCAAACCTTCAGAATTTTTCAGAAAATGGCTTTTAAAAATATAGTTAACCTTTTCCACCAGATGAGAATAAAAGAGCTAAGAATCAAACCCCTATGCACATCAAAAAACTTCTCCAACAGGGTAAAAAGGAAAGCCACAGACTGGGATATGAATGGATAGAGAAGCTGTGGTATATTCACACAATGGAATACTATGCAGCACAGAAAAATAAGGAACATATATTATACAAAATGAGTGACCCTGGAGGACATTGTGCTGAGTAAAAAATCTCAGTCACAAAAGCAAAAGCAATGTCTAATGCCACTGTTCTAAAACAGGACTGAAATGAGGGTTGGGAGGAAAATAAGAGGGGATAAATAATGTACATTGCATTGAAACAGAAAGGGAAAGAATTGTTTAAAAGGAATATATGATTAGGTATTATTTGCATGACAACAGTCCAGAATAAGAGCTGCATAGCAAAGTGGATTGGGAGAGGGAAAATTGTGCAACAATGAAATGATTTTTTTTTTTCAAAGAGAAAGGTGAACTGAGGGAGGCAAATTTGTAAAAATGAATGGATGGAAATCCAAATTCTATATAAACTTTCATTCAAATAAAATTTTTTAAAAATTGAAAATATTGGGAAAATATAGTTAAAAATCAAAACAAAACTCTGTAAAAGGAGCAAAGGCAACATAAGGACAGCATTATCTGACCTCTTAATTCCACCACGAATTTGTATTCAACTAATAGAAAACCAGTTCCCATGAGGTCAGAAATATCCCTCATGTCCTTGTACCTCTTTTTACTAATTCAAACACAAATCTTATCCTTTAATGGGCCAAAAAAGATATTTCTATTAGAGATGTCTTAACAGCAATGGCTTCTCAGTCTGTACATTTATTCTTGCTTAGGACTGATGACCTACCTGGCTTCTCAATCCTACAGACTAATAACACTGACAACTGTTCCTAAGTCTCTCACACTTGTAAACTGCCTGCACTTCACTTTCACATTGATCTAACATATTAGACAGTCTGTCTATAAAGACGTCCTGCCCACCAGTTTTTCTGCAAAAGAAAGATGAGCAATCTCCTTCTATACAATTTACTGATTCTAAAACCCGCTAGAGGAACAACTATGAGTTGATGATGGCTTGATGGTACATAACAACAAGAAATGCCCACAGGTCTTGGCCTGTTTTATATTTGTTATCCTAAGTATTAATGGAATCTCCTTTCACTATTACTTTTTTTTTTTTAGATTTTTTTTGGTTTAACTTAACCAAACTTAACAAGGTTTTTAAAAGAAAAATCTGCAACAAAGAAATAGAATACTCATCTAGTAATCAAAGTTGTTTTGTATTGTTAATTGCCCCTTTAGGACTCCAGCCAAGGATTAAGCAAATGAGACAAATGAAGAGTAAAAGTCTTTCTGATTTCTTTGGTTTTGCAAGTTTTCTACATCAAATTTATTTTATCAGCAGACGACTAAACTTAATCCAGTTCTGTTGATGTTAAAAGGAATTTGAGAATGAATTCAGGTTACAATCATATTTCTAAATAGTGGTACTGCTAACTTGAAAACTCTTTAAAAGTATCTAGGTCCTGTCGGCTAGTCTCCAAGTACAAAGTGGGTTTTTGAGTAATTTTTCCTCCAAAGTTATACTATTTATTTAAATATGATAATAAATTATTTTAAACTAATTTGCTTTTATAAAATTGACACAAATTTTAAAAGCCCTCCATCTTATGAACATTATTCATTGTTTGATAATAAAGAGTTTTAAGGATTATTTTTACCTTCTGCAGAGAGTTCTCCAAAGAATATTAAGATGATGGTGAAAGCCAAGTCTCTGAACCTCATCTTCAATGGTGTGCTTAACAAAGATTTTAACAACTCGAAAGCACTATGAACTCCTCAGTAAGTACACAATTCTTCTTTTGAGAAGTTAATTATTTACAACATCTGCTTAAGTCCCTTTGTAATGATTTGTCAGTCATTTTTAAGTTACTTTTAAAAAATGCTAAAGTAACACAGATGTACTGATTGCTGCTACTTCTCATGCCAGAGTGCAATAAGAATATGATAGCCAATAAGGATAACCACAGAGGCAGTATAACTTATTAATTCAGACTACATCAAAACAAGGTAAGTTCTCAACTTTCATTCCCAACTGAAAGCCCATGGTGTAAAGTTCATCTGTGGTCATTGATTTCCTATTGCCAATGACCAAGGGAGGAGGTGAACTTAGGAACATGAGCTAACAAATACCAGATGCTAAAATATGGTGTGGTCTAGGTTGTACTGCTTCCAGAGAAAAATTCTTCTATCATGTTGTTGTTGTTTTTATGTACTGTCGAGTGGTCTGCAACTCATAAGGACCCTATGTACAACAGCCCTAAACCCTGCTCTATCCTGTGCCAATCTTACTGTGTCTGACACACCTATCCACATTATCAGAGTCATTGAATAAATCTGTCTCTTTGAGTGTCTTCTTCTCCTGTGCTCTAACTCAGCCTTACCAAGAGTGACGTCCCTCTTGGACTGATCCCACCTTGCAACATGTTCATAATATGTCAGACAAAGCTTTAGAGTACTACTTGCCTCCAGGAGCAGGCTGGTTTCACCCTCTCTAGGAAGAACCTGTTCATTCTTTTAACAGTCCATGGTATATATTCAATACTCTTTTCCAACACCACATGTCAAAAGGACCAATTCTCCATCTGTCATCCTTAGTCCAACTCTCTGATGCATAGCAAGTGATTACAAAGACCATGGCCTGTATCAGGTGCACTTTAGTCTCCAGACTGTCACCGTTGCTCTTCAGTACTCTGGACAGGTCTCTGACAATGGACTTTCCTGATGCAATATATCTTTTAATTTCCTGGCTGCTGGTGCCAAGAAGGTTGATTGTGGAGCCAAGCAAGCTAAAGCTGTTTACAATCTCAATCTCTTCACCATCCACCATGATGCAGCCAATTGGCCCAGTGGTGAGAATTTTTGTTTTCTTGATATTGAACTTCAATCCATATTGAAGGTTGCAGTCCTTGACTTTCTGCAGAAAGTGCTTCAGGTTCTCCTCAATTTCTCTTATCAAATCAATATTAATAATAGTGTTATTAAACAATAATATCTAACATTTAGAATCCATATTCTATTGGGCAACATGCTATATTATCATTCATTTGTAAAGAGAGTTGTTTCCACTGTGTATGACTCCAGGTTCTAGTATTGCAATGAAGTAATATATCTTAATTTTTCCCTTTCTGGCATTTAAAATGTTAACACATTTTTCATTTAAATTACAAAATGATACCATGAAATAGGAGTAATCTTTCATCTCAATTTTGGAACTTTTTTAGATTGAAATTTTAATAAAAGTTTATAGAGACTTTGGATTTCCATTCATTCATTATTGCACATTTCCCTACCTGCCCACCCCTCCCCCCAGTTGGTTTTTCTTTGAAAAGTTAAAAAAACCCAACTTTCATTATTATGCAATCCCTTCCCCCCATCCACTCCTCCATGAAGCTCTCATTCTGGACTCTTGTCATGAAAATAACAATCATATATTCCTTTCAAACAGTTATCTCCCTCATCTGTTTCAATACAATATACATTATTTATTCCTTCTTTTCTTAGATTCCCCCCAATGTCAGTCCTGTTTTATAACAGTGGCATTATGCAGTATTTGTACCTTTGTGACTGAGATATTTCACTCAGCATAATGTCCATAATGGTATTCCTATTTCCAACTTTTTCAGAAAGCACCACACTGCCTTCCATAGTAGTTGCACCAGTTCACACTCCCATCAACAGTGAATAAGGGTTCAAAATTCTCCACAGTCTCGCCAACATTTGTTGTTTGCTGTTCTGTCAAATTTTGCTAATCTTATTGGGATGAGATTATATCTCATAGTTGTTTTGATTTGTATCTCTTTCAGAGCTAGGGATTTTGAACATTTCTTCATGTGTTTGTTTGCCATCTGAATATATTCTTTGGTGAAGTGTCTGTTCATATCCTGTGCCCATTTGTCAATTGGATTGTTTACCTTTATCTTGTTGTGGTGCAATTTTGGAACTTTAAAAGATAATATAATGTGTTATCAGAAATGTAAAAACACAGAGCAATGGATTCTTACAAATTGGACATTTTTGGAAAATCAGCAATCAAACACGAATAAATAAAATAGACTAGCATCCCAGGAATTTCCTTCCAGTCACTACCTACCCTCACTCCACTACCTCGGCTGCTAAGATAATGGGGTTTGTTTGGTTTGTTGGTTTTTTTCCTTGTTTCATTCACATCACATAAATGAAACCATACAGTATACATCCAACTTCTAACATTCACGTGTGTGTGTGTGTGAGAGAGAGAGAGAGATTTGTCCCTATTTTGAAGTGCCACAGATAATATCTTCTCTGTATAGTAATACATGGTGTGGCTATGCCATACAGGATCTAACTACTCACATCACAGTTCATGGACAGTTATGTGACTTCTAAAGTCATGTTATGACCACTACGGTAGTTCTGGTGGCTTAATGGTAAGGAGTTACTCTGCCAACCCAAAGGAATGTGGTTTGAATCCTCCAGATTCTGTAAGGAAGAAAGATTCAGTCTCTTCCTATAATATGTATAACATCTGAAAATCCACTAGAGGTCAGGTGTGAGTCTGTTCTGAATCAACAGCATATAACAATATGATCTCTGCCTTTCCCACTCCTCCCCCAACATTTTTTTCTAAGAGGAAAGATTTAAAACATAACCTCCACTTAAAATGAAAATATTATTGTACTTTTAAAATCACATCTGGACACCCACCTTTTATTTTTCCTTTTACATATTTCAAGGTAACTATTAACTATCTATAGGAGTTCTGGTGCCCTAGTTGCAAGAATCTGCACTATAATCCTGAGGACACACAGTTCAAATCCACCATCTTCTCAACAGGAGAAGGATGGACAATCTCCTCCCATGCAATTATTGCCATGTGCCATCGAGTCACCTGCAACTCACAGCAACCCTATGAACAGCTCAGAATCCTGCCCTATCCTGAGCCAACTTCATTGTCTGTGACACACTTAGCACCATTATTGCAGTCACTGAATCTCATGCAGGATCTTCCTCTCTTGTGCTGTCCCCCACCCTTCCAAGCATGATGTCCCTCTCCATAAACTAATCTCTCCTTGCAACAAGCCAAAAGTATGTCAGACAGAGCTTCAAATTGCTTGCCTCTGAGGAGCAGCTTGATTTCACACTCTTAGCAGCTCATGGTATATTTAATACTCTTCTCCAGCACCACAAATCAAGGCATCGATTCTTTTATCATCCTAAATCATTGTCTAGCTCTCTGGTAATTGCAAAGATCATGGTCTGGATCAGGCACAACTTACTCTAGAAGGACTTTGTTGCTCTTCTGTGCGCTGGAGTGGTCCCTGACAGCAGATACCCCTAATGCCATGGCCTCTTCTAAATCCAACCTGCACGTCTGGCAGTTTTCTGTTGACACACTGTCCCAATAATTTTTTAGTAATTTTCAGGAGATCTGGCTTTCATGTGATATTAATGATATTGTTTGATAATTTTCACACTCTGTTGAGTCCCTGGTTTTTTGTTTTGTTTTGTTTTGTTTTTTAGAATGGGAATAAAGATACATCTCTTCCAGCCAGGAGTTGAGGTAAACTCATCAACAATCTGAATTATGCAGATGACACAACCTTGCTTGCTGAAACTGAGGTAGACCTAAGGCATTTACTGCAGAAGGGCAAGGAATGCAGCCTTTAAGCTCAACATCAAGAAAACAAAGATTCTCACCAGTGGGCCAATTGGCAGCATCATGATAGATAGAGAAGAGATTGAGATTGTTATCAGCTAAAGCTTGCTTGGTTCCACAATCAACAAACACTCTTGGTACCACTAGTGAGGAAATAAAAAAATGAATGCATTGGGAAAATCTGCTGTCAGGGATTCTGCTTTCAGAATAGATACCTCTGACTTGTGGTCCTGGAGAAGAATATTGAATATACCATGGACTGCTAAGAGAACAAACAGGTCCATCCTGGAGAGGATGAAACCAGCTTGCTCCTTGGAGGTAAGGATTTTAAACTCTGTCTGACATAGTTTGAGCATGTTGTAAGGTAGGACCAATCCTAAGAGAAGGGCATCATACTTGGAAAGATTGAGAGACAGTGCAAGAGAAGAAGAACCTGGATGAGCTGCATTGACTCAGCTGTGCTAATAGGGGTAGGTGTATCAGACAGTGAAACTGGCTCAAGATAGAGCTGTTGTGTGTGTAAGGTCAGAGTAAACTCAATGGCAAATGAGGGCCTCCACAAGAAAAAAGAAAAATGAAGACATTCAAATAGCCAGCACACTTGAAGAAATGGTCAAAACCACTGGCAATTAGAGAAATGCAAATCAAAACCACAATAAGATACCATTCTACCTCTGTAGCAATAGCAAAGTTTAACAGCATGGCAAGAAATAAATGGGGAGGATGTGGAGAGATTGGAACTCTATTGTTGGTGAGTTAGTAAAGTGGTACAATCATTCTGGAAGACAATTTTGCATTTCCTTAAAAAGCTTAACATTGAAATTCTGTATGACCCAGCTTTTACACTGCTAGAAATATTCCATGAGGAAACCAGAACTGAGATAAATGGAGATTTGTATCCCTATGTTCATAGCAGCATTACTCACAATAGCAAGAAAATGGACATACCCCTCCAATAAACTAATGGATTAGAAATTATAGTACATTCACACAACAGAATACTATGCAGCACTAGCAGAAAACATTTAACAAAATACTGGATCACATCAGAGAGTCTAGAGAGCGTCATGCTGAGTGAACTAACTTC